AAGGATTACACATGAAACCCAGCTAGGGTTTATTTTCTGTGAAGCCGGTTCTTATAGATATACTAAGTTAGTAAAATGATTTTCTTAAAGAAGTTGAGAACAAGTTGACCATAATCTAATTATTAAAAAAAATTACTATTTGTAACAAATCTTCAGTGATTAGACATTACCCTCTTGAACTTGACATTACTCATATATTGAACAATTCCCCAGTCTTAAAAGAATTTCTTGACATTTATTATTTTCGTTATTTAAGGTCAGACGACACCTTTCTCAAAAATATATAATTTTTCCCAAGAATTTGTCATTGAAGTATAGCTACTTAAAAAAGTTTCCTCACCAAAAATTGAGGTGACTTTTTTTTTTTACCAGGGCAAGATACTAGTGGTATATATTTCTTATATAATCCTTATGGGTAATCTTTTGATTTACCAATGCAACCATTTTTAGTGTACTAATTTTTAAAAAAATATATTGAAAACAATTTAGCAATCACAAGAGAATGACAAATAGGAATAATTATTGACATAATACCAAACATATATTTGAGGAACTTGTCATCTGACCTTAAAACAGTGTAAATTTGTTCTTAAATGATTCCAATTTCCCCAATATAATAAGGAATTATTTCGAAATATCATTCATTTTCTGCAAGGCTCCACAAGATGCAAAGAGAAGCTACCTTTAGCTTGGACCAAAGAGGACTTGGACCTGTTTATAAGGAGAAAATACCCCTTGCTTGGAACATCCACTTACAAACTGTGTAAACTGGACAAAAGAAAGCTGGAACCACTGCCGGAAAATGCTACCACTCCAGCATGTATTAAGCAGTGGGGACAAATGAAGTGTTCTGCATTATATATTATGCCGGATAGTGAACTTGATGTACACAGGGTAACTCAGCTCTTTATCAAGAATTAAATTTTAAAGCCTTATGAAAAAAAAATTATCAGGATATGCAACAGAAGTAGGGGGTATTAGAAGTTTTAATTTCCCCTCATTTTTACATATTATTAAAGTAACATGTATCTGAAGTAAAAGTGATTTGTTAAATTGATGTTTTTTATTGTATATAAAAAAAATGTATTCTCAGATCTCAAAATCAAATATAAAAATCTTGTTGATGCAATCGGTATTTATTTGAAAGGAAACCCAATCTCTATATAGTTTAAACCATTTAAGGTTGGATCAGTAGCGCCACCCACACAGGAGAGGGACACACCAGAACAGACACCCTCAGGCAGTAGTGGACAGATACCAGGCAGTAGTGGTCAGATACCAGGCAGCAGTGGACAGATACCAGGCAGTAGTGGTCAGATACCAGGCAGTAGTGGACAGATGCCAGGCGGTAGTGGACATATACCAGGCAGCAGTGGACAGATACCAGGCAGTAGTGGTCAGATACCAGGCAGTAGTGGTCAGATACCAGGCGGTAGTGGACAGATACCAGGCAGTAGTGGACAGATACCAGGGGGTAATGGACAGATACCAGGGGGTAGTGGACAGATACCAGGCAGTAGTGGTCAGTCCCAGGTACATGTAACAAGTTAGCATAGACAAGTAACAAAATTTGATTTGTTGGACCTGAAGGTGGAAATGTTGCCGATGCTGCAGGTCCAACAAATCATATGTTGCTCTCATACCCAGTCAATAACTGTGTAATATACAAGAGGCCGATGGGCCACATCGCTCACCTGAGCACATTGGCTAGGCAAAAGCACAAATCAATTCAGTATTGAAAAGATTTCCGGGGGGGGGGGGGGCTTGAATTTTAAACTACCTGATGATGCTTCCATGTCAATATTTCAAATGGCTTTGTTGTACTTGAGAAGATTTTTAAAAAAAAATTCCCATATATTCCTTTGTAAAAATTTGATCCCCAATTGTGAATGTGGCTCCTCCCTATCCCAGGGGTCATCATTTGAACAAAATTGAATCTACACTACCTGAGGATGCTTCCATATCAAAATGACTAATCATGGTTTGCAGTTCTTCATCAGAAGATATTTTTCTATATATTTCTGTTTAAGACTTTGATCCTCCATTGTGGCCCCGCCCTACCCTTGGGGGTCATGATTTGAACAAAACAGAATCTTCACTTCCTTAGGATGCTTCCACATAAATATGACTCATCATGGCTTTGCTGTTCTTGAGAAGAAGATTTTTAAAGATTTTTCCTATATATTTCTATGTAAAACTTTGATCCTCTATTGTGGCCCCGCCCTACCCCCGGGGGTCATGATTTGAACAAACTTGAATCTACACTACCTGAGGATGCTTCCACATGAGTTTCATCTTACCTGGCCCTATGGTTCTTGAGAAGAAGATTTTTAAATGATGCCATTATTTTTTCACTAATTCCTAATTATCTCCCCTTGAAAGAGGTGTGGCCCTTTATTTGAACAAACTTGAATCCCCTTGACCCAAGGATACTTTGTGGCAAGTTTGGTTGAAATTGGCCCAGTGGTTCTGGAGAAGAAGTCAAAAATGTGAAAAGTTTACAGACGGACGCCGGACAAAATGTGATCAGAAAAGCTCACATGAGCTTTCAGTTCAGGTGAGCTAACGAGTGAATCGTACACATATAAAAAAAAAATTCAGATCATTCAGCATTTTTTGGAATGTCTCCTGTCATCAAGCAATGTTGACTGTTATTATATTTATCCACACGTGGTATCATCAATTAGAGGGTACTGGTGCTTTTTATCAATTGTTTCTGGACAAATTAGATTCAACTAAATAAAAAAAATAATATCAAGAATTAGCATACATGTACTGTGTATCTAAATAAGGAAGTATCCCTCTTAAGTCCTTCTGACTTGATTATGAAAGACAATTAAAATCCTTGCAGACTAAATGCAGCATTTTTTAGAAAATTGATTCAATCATTTTAGGATAGATCAGTGACTCAACACACACAAGAAGAGTCAAACACACAAGAAACTACTGGAGAAATGCCATCACTGCAGACACCTTCAAGGAGCAATCTTCTTTCTCTGCAGGTAACAAGAGTGAATGATTTGTTTTGTCATACACATTCATTATGTTCCCCAAAGAAAGTTTGGGAACAAATTGTTTTCACTCAGTTTCTTCTTCTTATTTTTCTTCTTGTTCTTCTGGGGTACTTTTTTGTAAGTTACTGATCTTATAAACTTCTCCTTTGATTAAGGTTAAACCTTTTTAGTGTGAATAGGGTAGGTAGATTATGTTGATTTGCAGAACAAATGTCATTTTGCACACACGTGCATGCATGCAAGTGCCTGTGAAATCTATAAAACGACTTATAAACCTGATATAGCCGTAACTTTTATATTTTTTGCTAAAATGTTTTATAGAGACATGTTAAAAGTGTTTACAAGGAGACATATTCAAAATGCACATGCATGAAGGTGTGTGCACGTGCAATGCATAAAATGACAAATATACTTGATATAGCTGTAACCTTTAAATTTTTTTTAATGAATTTGATATCGAGAGTTTAAATATATTTTTGAAGTTAGACAAGATGACATGATCATCATGAATATGTATTTCAATGCGTAAAATGTCCAATATAATTGATATAGCTGTAACTTATCTATTTTTGATTAACTGCTTTGATACTACAAATATAAATATATATATTCAAAGTGTTTACAAGTATAAATCCATAATAAATTAAGAGTATAACTCCATTTAAAACCTATATTTAAACCCACAAAAGAAGTTTGGGGGCTACATAGGAATCAGTTAAATCCCTTAGTTCACATGTGAAAATGTATTTTATGTATAATTTTAATTATTTAAGGTTGGGTCTGTAACGCCACCCACACAGGAGAGGGACACACCAGAACATACACCCTCAGGCAGTAGTGGACAGATACCAGGCGGTAGTGGTCAGATACCAGGCAGTAGTGGTCAGTCCCAGGTAACAAAATTTAATATGGAAGTTAGCATAGCCATTCTTGTGATTAGAATGTTGAAGAGTAGATCAATATTTTAAAATTGCAGTTTTAAAGGCAAAGGGTCTAAGTTTTAAATTCATTCATGAATATTGTCATTGGTTTGAAGAGCTAATAATTACCTAAACCTATAAAAATTGTGATAATATATATATATACCAATTAAATTCCTTTTGAATGAAACCAATGTTTTAGAATAAGAAATTCACAGTGGCAAAAAGGGGAATGCTTTTGCAGATATTACATGTAAAGATAAGATTTTTTAATGACTTATGTCGGTTTAAATTCTTTTGAGTCATTAACTTTTTGAATAATAATTTTAAAAAAATTAACAGAAGTTATATTGATGATGCTTTTTCTTAAATTAAAGCCAAGGAAAAAATAGTATGAACAAAAAATGTGCAAATATCATTGAATCATCTATAGGTAAACTACAGATTTGTATGTGCGGGTACACCAACTGTCCAGTTTAGAGAAGATAACTCTGCTGAAAATAATGCTGGACCAGCTAGGCAGCTTATTGATTTAGAAACCAGGTGGTTACTTATCCACTTTTGCCTATAAATAAACATTTTTTCCTATCAAGTCAATCAAGTTAATTAATATCATATCATAATTATGAATATATATATTTTACAACAGGTCTTTCATTACACCATCAATAGAAAATGCCAACAATGACCACAACAGAATTAATGAATTTGTCCCAGAGGTGCTTCCTTCTGTATTGTCAAGGTAAAAAAAAATATCTTGCTTTGAAAAAACTCTGTCTGAGGGTTTTTTTACACCACTGCCACAAAGTGACTGGAACATCATTTAGAAAATAACATAATTTTAATTCCTAATTAATATCAAGGAAATTATGTAATTGTTTTGCAACTGTAAATGATAAACAATATCATATTGTGCCATGGAAACTAATCCATTTTGTTTTGCTGTTGAAACAGTTAACCAATATCAAATACACTATTCCCAATTTTAAAAGAGGCCAATGAAATTCTGTAATATGCTTTAATTAGACAGAAAAATTAGATATTCTTTTATTTTTCAGACCAAGTGCCTCTGTAGATAACATAAAAGAATTCATACAACAACATCGTGAAAACTTTGTTAATATGCAATCTGAAGACCCTCTCTTACTAGAAGTAAGGAGGGAACATGTACTTATGGATGCAATAGCCATAATCCGGTACTCCCAGGAGGATCTTCACAACCCTCTCCAAATTAAATTTTGTGGAGAACAGGGGGTTGATGTAGGTGGATTGAGGAGAGAGTTTTGGAGTCTTTTCCTGTACCAGCTCTCGCATTCAATTTTTGTGACAGGTAAAAATTATTTATACTCAGTGGATGATATCTGCATAAATTGCAGAATTGTGCCACTGAAATTGAATTCACAAAAAATAATAAAATAATTGCAGAATATTCAATTCTTATAATTTAGAATTTGTACATAACAGTTATGGAAATGTAAAAATTTCAAATGAAGATGGCATTTCAATGGTACATTCAGAGTATCAAATCACAAACAATTTGATCTGTTAAAAACAAAATTATAAACAGAGAGAGTCTGCACCAAGCTAAGAATGACCAATTTTTGGTATACAGTGACTTTTTATTTGTGATATGACTCATGATACAAAGTTTAAAATGCTGATATTTCATGCACTAATTTGATTTCTTGAATTTTTTTCATTCAAACTTTTGAATATACTTCATAATTGCATTGACCATCACATGGATCGATTTCACTTCGATCTTTAGTGATCAGATCACTTTTTTAATATCACTTAACCATTGAAGTGTTGACTTGATATATTTTTGTCAACTTGTCAGATACCTGGTAATTATGATGACTTGTCAGATCCTTAGTTGTCAACTTGTCAGAAAAAAATTATGTCAACTAGATGGCACAAACTGGGCAAGGACTTTCATGTTAAATTTTAAAACAAATGAATAAATGACTAATAGACAAAAAGATCTAACAAGTGAACATAATTATCTAACAAGGTGATAAAGTTATCTGACAAGTGTTTGCAGAAATATGCCACATGTTAAACTGCATAGATTTTAATATTTCATTCAAAGTTTCACAATAATGCAATTTAAAGTGGTAAAAAGTTGTATACATTTATAAAGATACCGAGAGGTAAAATTTTGAGCAACATAGTAAGTTTAAAGTTTCTTAATATTTTAGAACTTTATTATTCACTTGTACCTGATGATCTGGAACTTTAAAAAACTTGAACAATACCTGATGTCAATGATTTTATGTTTCCCCCCAATTAACAGGAAAAGAAGGAAGACTTAGTTTCCAACCTAATTTTCTGGAGAGGAAAAAGAACACCTTTTTCCACCTGGGACAGCTCGTTGCATTATCTATTCTTCAAGATGGTCCAGGAGCACCAATCTTCTCAGAGTGCATCACCGACTATATACTGAATGGAAAATCCAATTCACTGGACCCAGATGATTTGATGGAAGGTCCAAAGGAAATCTTGGAAAAAGTACACAGTTTTTTCCAGTAATAATATGTTCATATAATAAATGCTAAGAAATCTTCATATATTAGAATTTTGTATATTAACAATTAAGATTGTTAATATAATTACATAATTTTTAGTCAAATGACCATTTTTGAACATAGCTAGTTTTTTTTTTTCTTCTATTGGATGTACTAATTACCATGCACTGGTAACTTGTAGATGGCTACTTGTTCCTCAGAGGATGAATTACAGCAACAGTACATGACTATAACAGACTATGCTACTGATGCTGGATTTCTCTTACCAGTAAGACGATTTACTGAAAAGCATGTGCCAACACTCCAAGCATGCTTAATAGAAAACCAAGTTGTGAGCTGTAAGGAGGAGCTGGACCAGTTTATTAAAGGTACACTGATGTGAATTAAGTATTCCACTCAAATATATGGTATTATAAAAATTGTTCTCTATGAACATGCAGTAATTATACTGCTCTACAGTGTCCTTGCCAATTTAAAATTACCCAATATTGTATTATCAGAATATATGTATTAATCTTGTTTTTTTAGGATTAGATACCCACCAGCTAATAAGTGCCCTTCAACAAGAGGGGACAAGAGAAAAATGTAGAGGACTTTTTAGCGGGAAGATAAAACCAGTAACAGCTGCTGCTATTCGACAGTTACTCAAATTCAAGTACACAGATGGAAACAAAAGGCAGCAGGAGATGGTAACTGGACAAGGCTTCCTTACCTTTTTACAAGCTACTAAAGGTATGCAGTTTACCTATTGTAATCTAGCTTAGCAATTTTTACTACCTCATCTCCCTTCAGTAATTTACAAAGAATATCTATATTTAGCAACTGAAACCTTATTTCTATGCACAGATATTCAAAGATTGGGGAGGGGGGGTTATAGTTTTTGCCCTGTCCATCTGTCTGTCTAGCTGTCTGTCCACAAAAACTCTTACCTTGCCTATATAAACTATAAATTGGTTGGAGCTATGGCTTTCATTTTCACAAGTGACAAGGCCTTTCTTTGGATACCAATGTATTTGACCTTGGAGTTTCACCCGTTTTTGCAAAATTTTACTAAACTATAACCTTGGTCATAACTTTTGAACAGTTTAAGCTTGGGCTTTCATACTTCACATGTGTAGTCATTGTAACAAGACCTCTCCTTGGGTGTAAATACATCTGATTTTTTTTTTTACCTTGACTTACTTTTAAAAAAACTTTAACCTTGGCCATAACTCTTCGATAATTAGTACCAAAACTTTCAAGTTAATTTCCTTATGACGAGACCTTTCTTGGGATACCAACAATTTTGACTTTGAAGTTTGACCTACTTCTGAAAAACTTTAACCTTGATCATAACTTTTGGACAGTACACTTAGTGCTAGGGTTTTTACATTTCCTGTGGCAAGGGCTTCCCTGGGTACCATTTTATTTGACCTTGACCTTGTGGTTTGACCAGCTTTTATAAAAACATTACCCTTGGTCATAACTTTTAAATGGTTGGTGCTTGGGCTCTCATGTTTCACAGGAATATCCTTTCTTTGGGTAACATTTTCGATCTTGACCTTTGAGTTTTACTTTCATTTGAAAAACTTTATCTTTTGTCATATGCTGCCATATGGGGGCATCAGTGTTTCACAAACATATATTGTTTAGAAATGCAATGAATTTTAAATACAATAAGTGTGTTAATTTGAGAATTGTTTCTGTGGCATTAATTTGCCAATATGATTACATGTATTTATCAAGACAGGTGGTTTCTTTTTTATCAGGATCTGGAGCCACGGTAAATGGCATTAATCTTAAGCCAAAAGACGTCCTCATGTGGTTGACTGGGGCAACGCATATACCTGCATGTGGTTTCCACAAATCCATCGATGTGGAATTTGGAAGTACAACAAATATTAACACTTGTGCTTTGTGCCTGACTCTTGAGGTGAAAGAGTCAATGACACTAGATGAAGCTGTGACATATTACACAGAACTTCTAATCAACAGCCAAACCTTTTCTAAGGAGTAATATTTAAGGAGATGGGCAAACATTGCGTGCAGAAAGCCTATAGCTTCAGATATATAAAAATCATGTTCAATTTGTGAATTTAGCATTTAGAGTAAAGTTCTCATTATTGAAATTTATAAAATTATGATAAAGAAATATTTTTTGAGAAAATTTTTCATGGCAAAATTATTAAAAAATAATGTAGTATTTGTGGGGTTGGAACCTTAGCTATAAAAATCCTGAGTATCATTTTCTTTCAACACTAGTATCTAACCAGTAGACTACAAGTCCTCATGAATGGTGGCATTTAAATCATGTTTGTGATTCCACCCTTGACTTAATGGACTTCAAGTATTTCTCGAAAAGATGCAAATGTTATGTCATAAAAGTATATTTTTAAGGTATAGTAGGTCTTTGGTCCATATTTTTGGTAACCAAAAATTGTATATTTAATAGAAACTTTGAGGAATAACTTTCAAACAATGGATCGAAGACCCACTCATGTCGAAAAATAGTGTAATAGTATGAGAAAATGACTTTTTTGCCCCTTTTAGTGTGTATGATATTTCATAGGCAAATATTTCAATCTATGTGAGATTTTTGCAAATTGTAGAGATTTTACATAAAGTATATTTTGATATTAGATGAAATATTGAAAATTTTGATATAATTGAGATTTACTTTTTCACCTTCATATTTGTCACACTGTAGGCTTTTTGCTTGTCATGTTCACCCATCTTCTTTGATCATTATATATATGGCCAAATAAATTTGACTAATTTTTACGCAATACTAGCGATTCTAATATTTTTCACAATGCGATCGAGAAGTTCAAATTTTCTCTGTTGAAAAGAGGATATAATGAAAATGAGATTAACAGTTCAATGAACAATGTTCTAGAAAACTACAAAAGAGACCATTTAAATCAAAAAAAGAAAGTTAACAGTAATTCTGATATACCATTGGCCATGGTTACAAAATACAACCCAGCCATTAGCAATATCAAAAAGAAATTGCTAAAATACTGGCACACTCTATCAAGAGAGCCCGAACTCAAAGATATATTCAAAGACAAACCAATTATTGCATATAAAAAACACAGGAGTTTAGGAGATCTCCTAACATGTTCTAAACTTTAATAAAAGTTAGTAAAGCCTCACTTACTGGTCAATTACAATGTAATCAACCATATCATTTACTGACATATCTCAGTCAGAGACAGTTAACAAATTATCGCTTTCTTGCATATTTATTTACACAAACAACTTTCATCTGTGTTTATTATTTAAACATTACGTGACCTTGGGAAATTCCCTTACCGGTTCTACTATTTAAAAAGAACATACCGGTATATAATAAAACAAATAAAATGAATATACAATATTGATATATATAAGTGGATTCCTGATGATGGCGGACTTATATAACTAATTATAATTAGTATAGAATATCTATTTATTGCTTGGCCTGTTATCACACCGCCGAAACACTAAATTAGTGTCGGATCTAAGTGAAAACGGGGTTCGTGGCTTGATGGGAGTCACTTTTTTACTACAAACAAAGTCAATTTTCCATGTTAAATAGTACGTTGAAATACCGCCCACGAAGTCTTCACAAGTAAATAAGAATCCAGTTCTTATAACTTGATATTCGTAAATTTGCCATGCTACTGGTGTTATTCGCTTCGCTGTTGCTTTGTTATTATTTGTTTACTACAATTTAAAAGTTAATGCATTTATAAAAAAAAAAAACTTAATAAGTTTATTGTTGTACGGCATTTATTTTACACAGTATCAGATTTCATGTACATGGATCATAGAACATGTATTGAGTAGCATATATATTGAAGTTGTGTACATAGTAAACAATGACAATACGTGAGTACACCACAGAGTCGATTGTTTTGGACCAAGGAATAGTCATGTGAAATCCTATTCACTGATAGTACAGCACGGGAAAAGCTGCCAGGCAATTGTCAACTAACGGACTTGTACAATGGAGTGTAAGAAACCCATATTTTACCGTTGTAAAACATTTGTATGTAAATGTGAGCATGGAATTAGTAGATAATGTTGTACATATTGTATCAAGAGTGTAAAATGCTTGGAAAAATGCATCCTGTCTTTCCGAGAGCGATTTGAAAAATTAGCCTTTTCGAAATGCACATGTAGTATTTTTTGTAGTAACCCATAATGCAACTCATTTAGCCGATTGGTCGGTTTGTCATTCACGTTGGTGCCTCATTTAGCATGTAAATTTATTCTGACGTCACAGAAAATAGTTTCCTTGACCTGTTAAAGTAACTGAAAATGATTGAAAAAAGATGAAAATTTCAAGGCATTATACAAGGAGTAGATCTTCTGCTCCACCTAATTTCTTTGATCCTGAAGAAATTGAAGAACTTGTAAATAACACTGAATACCAAGCTGGTCAGTTTCACCATGTTGATCTATCTCGTTTTTTAGTTCTTCGAGTACCTCATCACTGAGAGGACAAGGAACAATCTGTTCCTCTGATTCTTCTTGTGGTTCTTCTTGATCTGCTATCCCAAGATCTTCCACGCCATACATTTCAGATACTTCACTCTCACTTGTTGGATCAAACAGGTCTTTCACGGCAGTTCTCTCAGTACCAAACAGTTCTAAGGCCCTTGAAACAAACAGCTGATGTGGTGACATGTGACCCTCACTCCTCAACCCATGGTGGTTCCACTGTGACTGGAAAAGACTCAAATCAGAGTTGATTCTTGGCAAAAAAACAAAATGTAATGCCCACAAGTGGATGGCATTACCTATTTCAAACAAGTGCTCACTTTCCATGTAGGTAAATAGATCATAGTATAGGTTAGTGACTCCTTTCCAGACGTCCACCCACAGACGTTCCACTCTTTGATTGTGTACACTTTTACCCTGTATAGCACTACCTCTATTCTCCCCTCTTTTGTCCACCATGTATCTACACACAGACACATTCTCCCTACCCATATCACACCGAACACGTGATGGAAGACCATACTCTTCCACTCCCTTTTTAAAAAGATCTAAAACTGTGGATGCTTTGTTGTTGTTTCTGGCTGCCAGATAGATATTGACTCTGCTGTAGCCATCTATACAGCCATGGATTACAATGTTCCACCTGAAATTTAGAAAAAGACAGGAATCTTGATGAAAGAAAGAGATGAAATAATCTAAGAAAAAAAAAAAAAGTGAGATTTCAGTATTGTTGAAAACACTATTTCTCTAACAATATTTAACTAACATAAAAAAATTAATAATTACAAATCATTAATATTTTATGCCCTATCCTAGTACATGTAAATGGATATAAAGAAATTAAATTTCATATATAAAGCATTCTATCAAGTTAAACACTGACATGAAATGAAATGGAATTTTCATTCTTTATTAGTTATTTTACCTGATCAGTCTATGGTTTCCATCAAAATGCCACAAAGAATTTGGCCCGGCTACTGAATATGTTCTTCTAATTATCGGTGTTCTCATACTACGCACAATGGCTCCAGCAGGATCTATTTCATTCAAAACTTCCCTTATCCGTCTTCTTTGAATTATGATACCTTGACCTGCCAGTCTAGCTCTCACCGCATTTGGACCAATCTGTTGGTTTTCTCCAGTAATATTCTTTATCATATTCTTTAGATCTTCATCACTCACTGGTGTATATTTTTTGGCCAAACTGATGTCATATTCCCTATAACCAATGAAAAACACATGCAATGAATGTTTTTTAAACACTTTTTAAAACTTTTTATTTTTCCATGATCAAATAATTGTTCCTGGTCTGCTGCTTTTACACCAATATTTATGCCAGAAACTTTAATCTCGCTTATAACCTTTAAAGTAAAAACTGTGGAGACTTCACACACACTTGTCAAAAGGGTAGACTATTATTAGATCATTCAGATGGTGTATCTAAGCTTATACAGAGTAATTTGGATAAAGACTGGAACACAATTAGTTCACCTGAGCTGAAAGCTCAAGTGAGCTTTTCTGATCACATGGTGTCTGTCGTCCGTCCGTTTGTAATCTTTTCACATTTTCAACTTCTTCTCAAGAACCACCAATTCAATTTTAACTAAAGTTGCTACAAAGCATCCTTGGGAGAAGGGGAGTTTAAATTGTTAAAATGCAGGGCCAAGCTCCTTCCAAGAAAAAACAAAAATAGGGTGGGGTCATTAAAAAATCTTCTTCTCAAGATCCACTGGGCCAGTAAAGCTGAAACTTATGTGAAAGCTTCCTGAGGTAGTGTAGATTCCAAGTTTTCAAATCATGGTCCCCGGGAGTAGGATGGGGCCACAATGGCAAATCAAAGTATATAGAAAACATAGGTAATCAGAGACTACAGAGCTAACCTCAAATCTGCTCCAAAAACTTTAACCTGGTCACTAATCCGGAAAATGTAGGTCAGATCCAGCATCTGAAGCAAGTTCAGTAGGCTAGTGTGCATCCTTAAATGTATCATCCATGCAAGTTTGGTCAATATAGGGCTTATAGTTACTTGGAAATGAGACCTGCTCCAAAAACTTTAACCTGGTCACTCTTATACTGCACCATGCATACTATCTTTTACAACGGTGCACACTGATGAACACTGGTGTACACCATGTTAAGGTAAATCAAGCATGCCCAAAAATTGTTGTCTGTTCTTAACTTTTTCATGGATTGAGACAAGTAACAGCTCATTACAGTGCATTTAGCACAAAGACAGATTACGCTCATACAACCTGTGTCAAACCCCTAAATAATATGGTCATTTGGACTTTGTGTAAAAAAAATAATATATTTTGAAATTCTCTAAAACGAAAGGAGGATGGCCGGATCATAACAAGAAAGTGTGACAGAGGGATTGATAAGGATAACTGTGTAGATATATTTAAGAAATAAGATATAATTTTTAAACATCTGTTGGGATTTAAATATGGGTTAGTCACAAGATCAAATTCCATAAAGCCCGAAGGGCTTTATGATAAATTTGATCTTGTACCAACCCGTATTTATATCCCGATAGTTGTTCAAAAATGATACCTTATTACTTATATTTACATTTGTGAACTTATTTATATTTTATATTTGCCTGATTATTATCTTTAACGTGTGAAGTTTTTTATTTTTCAAACTCAATGGCACGTGTTTAATCCATTGATTGCATGTTGACCCTTTATGACGTCACTTAGAAATTACGTCGAACGTTTATGACCCGAGGAACCTGTGTTTTTACGGGTATAGATACACATTGCTTTCAATAGTGTTATATAAAGGAAAGCATTTGCAAATGTAAATGTATATATACTTCAGTTTTAAAACCTTTGCTGCATTTTAAACCAGAGTGCCTTCAGGTTGAATAATTTAGGAGATATAAAGTATGGTTTTATAGTTAAAGGCATGGAGTTCAGTTAATTTTTTAAGTTATAAAAGTTTTAAGTTTACCTCAATCTGCGACTGACAGTACTTTTGGAGATGTGAAGGCATTTAGATAATTTAGGGACTGTGAATCCAAGTGAAACCAAAAATTCTAATTGTTCCATGGACACATCATATCTTGGGGCTCCACTTGTGCCAAGTCTGATCTTTCCAGGTCTATAGCTAGAATGACCTATAAATGAAAATATGAAAAAATGTTTTACTGAACACCGAGCAAACATGTTAATTGAACTGATATTAGAAAACATTTTTTGACTTACATCAATATAGATATGTATCAGTCTTGTTATATTAATCAAGTAGAACATATTAAGTGAATCACAAACTAAAGAGTTCAAGGATGATATTTTGTATGCAACACATTAGACATATAATACTATCTTAGACATATCAGTTTGATTATCATAACATGCATAATTAAGTGATCATTTCCAGAACAGTGCTTACTTTATTTTAAATTTTAGTAAAATTCTTAATTGGTTTACCTAAACCTGATGCCTCCCTCAGCATCTCAAGATCTTTCAACATTTCCCGAGTCTCTTCTAAAATTGGCCCCGTTTCTTCTTGTGACAACACAACACCAATGCCTCTGACAAGATTTCTTTCAACTCGCTCCATTCTGAAACAAAACTTGCATTAGAAAATTATGTAGAGCTTGCAAAAATACATTTACATATACCTATGATTTTCTTACATTTTTTTTACTTTTGTATAACCTTTATAATAATTTGAACATTTATTTTGATCCTTATTTTGTAATAATTGTGAAACTTCACTTTCAAAGCTTATTAAATATGATTTTTTAAATATCATTTTGCTGTATATAAAAAGACTTAAAGTCATTTTTTAAGTACAGCAAAATGATTTTTTTGGGAAGAGCTAATTTCAGCAACTTCAGATTTTGTTTTAATATGTCCATTCAGACATACACAATCCTGAAACCAAGTGCCTACGATTTCTTATACTGTACAAAAAAAAAAAAAAAAAAAATACAATTAGATCTAATATATCATAACAATTATAAAAATAATTAAGATTAATTAGCCAATATTCATAAATAAAAGATGGTATGGTATGAAAATTCAATAAAAAGATTATTCATAATAAGATTTTTTTTTTAAATGAAAAATGATTATTTCTTTATTCCATTTTAACATGTTTAATTTATAATTTTAAAAAATTATAATTTAATTTATAAATATTCATTTAAAATAAGGAATATACAATTACATGTTCTGAAATTGTCTTTAGAATATGTAAACCATATAATGAACATATATATATTAAATTCATTTTATTTAAAAATCCGTTTTAAAAATCTATTGGCAAAGTTCTTTAAATGTAATAAGGCCAGCATTTTTTTTATTTTTAGATTTATGAACACCAGATTGAAAAAGTTCCGTAGGAGGAGGAAATAAAAAAAAATAAAATTATTTTTTTGGATAAGTTATTGACTTTCGTACATTCATTTTTGCTTCTTTTTTATGCTCTTCTAACAGGCTCCTTGCCACTGGCCACATAATGGTTTCAAATAGGAAGGTACATGTAGAACTTTAAATTGTTTATTTCATTGTCTGCCAGTTGGGGACAGAGACATAAATTTTGAGATGTTGGTCAAAATACAAATTTTTAAAAAAAAAATCATTTTTTTTTAAATTCTTTCAATATTTAAGCTTCATTTTTTTTTTAAAAAAAATATGTGATAAGTGCTTGTGTAGAAATTGTTCTCAATATACAGTGTTCCAGCTAGGATCTGAAAATGGAGGGGTGCAAGAGCAGGGCACCTTTTCGCCACATATACCATTTGTCGCGAGCTTTTGTTACATAGGCATATCTCATTACTTCACCCTTATAATAATGAAATCCTTCAAATATCAATTTATTTAACCTTATATTGATTTGAAAGATACATGTATATAAAAACACATTTGGCCTAATCTATAGCTAGTATATAAATTAACATATAAAAAAGAATTTTAAAAATCCTCTGAGAATAAGTATTACTTTTCTTCTTTCTTAATCATTTTCTATTCTTATTTCCTATTTTCAAAAACAGAACCATAATTCTCATAAACTAGCTGATGTCTCACATTATTCAGTGCAGTACATGTGCTACATGTGATTGGGTCACTTTTTGGCAAATGTATAAAATATGGATACAGTATTTGTAGGTTATAAGTAACATATTAGTACTAGTATTAAACTTACAAATTAAAGCCAGTATCTTTTTTGCTTTTTTTTATCATATTGTTCATGTTATTGGCAGATAATTAATTAAATTAAGATTTTAAACTTCTGCAATGAAATAGAACACATGTAATATGTACATATCTGTAATCTCATAAATACCTTCCAGAGTGTCAAAAATCATAATTAAGGACAAAATAAATGAATATTTATACTTGTTTCTGTGCTATTAAATATTGAATTCCATCTTTTTTTTTCAGAAAAGAAACCTCAAGAATTTATAAATAAGAAGTGAAGGTCAATGTTAATTCTACTTTCACTTTGTGATTTATTTTTAGAATGCTATAATACAAGACTCTTGTTTTATATTAATTAAAACAGATAGCTTGGACATTCTCAAAGTATTTCAGGTGTTAACCCCTATTCAGACTGTCAAGTGATCAAAGTAATTACCTAATCACCTGTAATTGAAAGTGGGCACCTGTACAGTACATAGGTACCGTAATGCGAGTTTCATTGTGTAATCATCCATGACAGGAGGTGTGAATTGCTGATTGTCCTTAAGTAATCTGCTTTGGAACACACTAATTATTCTTATGAGGGAAAAGGACAGTCAGAATAATACAGGATACTAACAGCTAGGGGACACAGGGGCACTTGTGGGGGGGCAGAGGGGCGTACTGATTTGAGGGCGGGGCGCGGCGCCCCTCTATTTCACCCTAGCTGGAACACTGATATATACTTGATACCTTAAGTAAATATTCCTATCATATATAACAGACAGGGAATGTTGGGGATGGGGGTTACATTTTTTTTTTCAATTAAGTGTAAAGTAATTTTTCTGGCTGCCACATTCAAAATCAATACTACATGCCTGTATATAATTGTATATACTTGTTTTCTTTAAAAGTTGAAATATTTCATTTCTTTAGGTTATTGTTTATTTTACCCTCAAATGGACTTAATTTCTCCCATAGTTTTATTCATTTCATCTGATACATAACTTTCATAAGCGATCCTTTCCTGAAGAATGTTCCCTAGAATGTAAGCTATAGCAAAGACCTAACAATGCCTCTGGCTATAGCTACCACGGGCAGATTTTAACCTGTGTGAGGAAATTAAGAAACTGGGGGGATAAGCCGAGCCATATGCCTACATAACGATCGATAAAAAATCAATAAATTCATTTTACAAAAATTTCACTTTTTGTTGAATTAATGTAATGCTTATTACCATTTGCATATAAATTTGACAAAACCTGAATACTGTAACAGCGAAAATGATTCTGATTAACACAACAAAATGGCATCACGCTCAATTTTCACAGAAATTGACATAAATTGGATGATATAACTACATTTTTTAAATAGAGTGGGTCATCGTACCATTTTTTTGAGAACGATTAATGAAAGGCAATGGAAAGATGTTGCTTTTTACACTTGCAAAAATTTGGTATGAAGACCCACTCTACATAAAAAATTAAGTTAACTTACTTAAATTTTCACCGTGGTCTTAAAAAATTCTAAGTCCAAAAACGCTTGCTAAATATAGAGAACTGTATGCTATTTAAATGGAAATGTTAGTGTGACTCTGTGGTCTAGTGGTTAGCGATGAGCTCTTTAATGGGACGTTTATTGAGGAAAGTGTTCGAGTCATGCTCTGATATATATATATTTTTTTTTGGTTTTAATTTTGTTTTACTTTATAAAAATGTCTATAGGAATAACATATTTTTCACTGGAAATAAAATATATACATGTAGTAATGAACTTATTTACAGTAAATTGTTTAAAATGCCGGATAAAAATTATAATAGATATTTGAATACTTTTATTCCCGTTTTATTTATTTTAAATAAAAGCGCTTCTAGATCACCATTATCATTATATACGATGTTAACATTTTCATAATATCTCCACAATAAGTGTAAACACTCAATATGCAGATTAATTAATAGAAGTCCTTACCCATGTTAGACATTTGTGACAGTAAATGAAAGTCAACTGTTTAGCTTGTTTAGAATATAAATATCATTTTGAAAACTACGGTAAACATTAAAATGCTTAAGTAAATTCGAACAATTGAGAGATTTTTTCCAATAAATGTTCTTGCATAGCCGAAAAATGGGCATGGGCACATGGCTCGTCTTATCCCCCCAGATTCTTTACATGCAGATACTTTTGAACACGGATACATAATTATCTCACCAACATGTCATTGTGCAACAAAGTCGTCAGCATTTTATTTGTCCTCTGAACGGAAGAAACGTTTTAAATGGCACCCCCATCGATAAATTTTTACACTAAACCAGCTATGATGCTGCTTTGGACTATGCAAATCTACCTTTTTTACCCGCCATGTGTTTATCTTAAACCGGTAGTACAAGTTCGTAAATTTGAAATCTCGATCCCGACTCAAATTCAACATCGGAAAGAAAAAAAATTTTCCCTGAAAATTCAAAAACTTGAGAGGCGGGTTTGTAAACCTAAAAGTAAAAAAATGCTGGCCTAAACTTAATTTTTCATGGAAGTGCAAATTTTTGATAGCTGAAACCAAAGGTAAAAGAAACTGACAATAAAACAATTATTTAATTAAATACTGAATTTTAGTTCAAAATAAGAACAGACATTAAGAAATAACAATTTTTTTCTCACAACTCATACTGAAAATCTTGGATCCGCCAACACACAAGATAAACATGCATATGAAGCTTACCTTAAAACAATACTATCAATGGTCTCTCCTTCGAGATTATCTGTGGCTGATAAACGTACACAGTCATTGATTGTTTGTTTTGTACGTCTTAAAAATTCTTCTTTTGTATTTTCAGTTTCTCGGTGATGTCTTGTATACGCCATACCGCCCAACTCATACCGCCATTCCTGTTTTAAGCTTTTGTAACAAACTTCGCTATTGGTTGATTTTTACTTAAGTAAAAATATTTAATTGTGAGTAGAGATTGCCAGTGTTATATTTCTACTGCAGTAAAATTAATTAATTTGTGAGTTAGATGGTCAGTGTTTTATTTTTACTGCAGTAAAATAAATTAATTGTGAGTAATGTGGCCAAAAAGTATTCTTACTTCAGTGAGAAAGTAAATGATTTTTACTGGAGTAAAAATATTTTTACTGGAGTAAAAATAATTTTACTGGAGTAAAAATATTTAATTGTGAGTAGCAATGGCCAGTGTTTTATTTTTACTGCAGTAAAATTAATTTTAGTGGAGTAAAAATAATTAATTGTGAGTAGAACGGCCAACCATACCCGTCTGTTATGGCGATCATGTCCGTCCGTCCGTCTGTGAGCTTTTCTAGTGTCCCACTCATAACTTTAATACTTTTAGGCCTAGGATTATCAAACTTTGTCACCTGATACTTCGTGGGTAGAAGGTGTGTCGTGCACAAAAAGTAGGTTGCTCTGACCTTTAATTAAGAT